CCCCACGATGTTCCATACAGCTTAAAGCATTTAAAGCATCCTTGAGAATCTCATATGATGCTTTATTTTCCAAATTGGCAATGAAACCAACACCGCAGGCTCCTCTTTCTGATAGTATATCCTCCATATTTGCAACCTGACCAACAAGCGCAGCTAGAATCATTAAACATTTTGTCGTGCAAATTACAAACCACGTGGGTTACTAGTTGTCACTCAAAAGCTATAATTTTTGAAATAGTGAATAGAGAGCCTTATGGTGCAAGTCCTAGATAAGGCTTGGTTGTTGTTGTAGTGAATAGAGAGCCTTGGAGCCCTGGTCTTGAGATTCCAAAGTCAACAGCTACTTAGGAAGGGGGACAGTGTCCCCTTTCTTGCCTGCCTAGATGGTTTTTGTTCTTAATTGTTTACTTTCTATGTTGACTCAAACAAGATGTTGACCTCTTAGAGCTTTAGTTTTGGGATAGTGTTCTATTCTCAACAAAGACACATTTGAAATGACCTCTCTATACCCAGTTATTTAAGCTATATTTTACCCCCTGGTTAGTGAAGTTAGTCGTTTGGCACTTAGGGAGCTTGTATGATAAAATTCAACTCCCATACATTGCTGGCTTGTTTCCAAGTTTCCCGAAGGCCTCAAATACTTTACAAAACAATCTTCATTTTGTTTAAACAAGTACAATCCGCAACAGAAATTGTGACCACTACATCAAGTTTTCTATATATAAATGTGTCGGCATCAGTCTTATCTTACTGTGATTTTTCGCAATATCACGGATAGCAAAGCTACCACAATTTAAAACCATAGAATCCAAGGATTGTGAATTATTCCAGTTTACATAATCTACAAATTTGCCCACAACGATTTAGTCCTCGTTCAAATCTTCCATATAAACTATAAAAGATACATTTACTAGTATGATTTTTCACAACGAAAATTTTATTTTAAGACTTAAGCAAGGTGTTGAAGTTGAGCCGATGATGTACCATCTAAAGACCAAATCCACGCCTTCAATTCAACCAGACGAAACATTTCTACACACAACAATTAAACAACAACAAAATTCGTCGTGCAAAAATAACAACGGATGATGAAAACGGACCTGCGGTTTCAACTCGGAAGTTGAAGAAGAAGAAGGAGGAGGAGCGGGATTGAGCTGTTTATCAAGCTCGAGAACCGATTTGACGGGGCTACGACGGAGGCTAGCAGGAGTAACAAATGGCGTCAATCTGCGGCTATACCTCTTCGATTTGCGGCGGAAAGGCGCAAAGTCAACGAGCAAGTGACGGTTACCGATCGTCGGAGAGAATGTATCGGAGAGACGCAACACTTGAGAAACCGACGACACCGTATGCAGCGCCATCGCGAGAGTGAGAGAATGAAAGTGTGTAGCAAGTGTTTGAATAAATGAGTGTGTGAGTGAGAATGAAGTAATGAAGATAAAAAGAACAAGAGGGAGAGGTCTCAAAATGCTTAGCTCATACACACCACCAACTTCTCATTCCTTTCCATCTTGGTTTGTTAAATGTTAAGTGAGCACACACTCTCTATCACTGAGTTTTTATTCTCTGTGGTGTGGTCTACGCTAATCCCATGTGCTGCACCGCCCGATCATAGATTATGTTTTTGTTTTTTTTTCTTTAATAGGACTCCATCCGTTGAAATCGTTTTGGAGAAAAAATTTGTTTCAAATTATAAATTATCTTATAATTTTAATACAGCATGAATGATATTTTTTCTAATATTATTTTTTATTATTTAGTTTTCTTTGTTTTTTCAACGTTTTTAATTTTTCTTTTTCCTATAATTAATGAAGGACAATTATATAAAGTCATACATAATTTTATTTTCTCATCTAACACTACTAATTTTTTTTTTAATATATCAAAACTACTTAAAGTTTGAGAGGAGGAAATATTTTTTAGTAGCTGAAATTTAATAAATAAAATAGTGCGATATCTGTGATTTTTGTATCTGATATATCTGTTTCTTTGTATCAGATACACAATCATTCAAGTAAATTGGTTAAAAACAAAATATTATTTTCAATAGATAAAAAGAGAATCGCTGAGGAATTATGCAACTTTTTTACTTTTCAACCATCAAATTTTAATTCCACACGTAAAGTACAAAAAATAGTAATAATAATGATTCTTGTTTTTTTACTTAAAAATAATTATTGAAAGAAAATGGAAATTTGAGTATGTAGTATTGGATGAATGAGTGAGTGTGAGGATTATTTTCTTCAGGGAAGACGCTCCCGATCACATATTTATTTAATGCTATTTATCGTCATAATTTTGCCATAAATTATTTGCCTTGTTTTATTGCTGATGTCAAAAAGATTAATGACTCGCGCATTCCTATCGGTTCCGTTAAAAATCACTTCGCCGGAATGATTGGTATTTTTCAGTAGTTGTTGATCAAGTAAGCTAAAGTTTTTGTTTAATCAATTAGTTTTGATCTATTTATTAAATCTACTTCACTGATTATGTTTTATTTCTAATAAAAATCAAATTTAATTTAAGTAAGTTAAACTTAATCATTTACTATATGTAGTTTTATTATATTTATCATTAATAAATATAGAATAAGATAATAGTAAATTAAAAGTGATATATTATTATTAATTGTATGTACAATTGTGAGAGAAAAATATTAATTAACAACCTTAATATATAAATGGTAATAGTTTTTTATTTTTTTAGGGAAAAATAACTTATATTATTTCATTATTGATAATATTCTGAAAATTAGTAAGAGAAGAAGTCATTATTGTTAAGGCATGAACAATCTTATTAGTTTGTTTCCTAACGAATTTAACATGAGAGCTTTTAAAAAAAGTAGTTAATAAGTGTTTATATTCAAGTGTAATAGTACCCAAATCAGAATCATTTGGTTGTTGATTAATCACATTATCTATCACACTTTTAGCATTCATCTTAAAGTCCATTGAGTTGAACTTAAGCTCGTGAACCCATTTAATGGATGTCAGCAGGCCTAAAGGTTTCCCTACATCTACATTTGTAATAAGAGAGAATCACTTAGTCTTAGATGCAATAAATCGACTATTATCATCTTGAATGCAAGATCCTATACCTACCTTGTTATCAGCAAATGATGCGTCGATGTTGCATTTGAGATGACCAGCTGACGGTTTTCTCTATTTGACTTTCGGAGGCCTTAGAAATTGATTATTATTACTAGAACAGATATTTTGAGCATTCCTCCAACCTGCCAACAAAAGAGTAGTTCGAGTACAAATAATATCTGCATATTATTCTATATGGTTCTAGGTTTAATTGTTTATACATTCCCATATACTCCATAAGCTGGTCGAAAATGCTGCTTGTTGATCTTGATTTGCAACCTGCAAAAAAGAAAATGTTATTGTAGCATCGGAGAATTTAGCATTCATCACAAGTCGAATTTTTTTCAGCATTCAATACTCTTTAGACGAAGAAGAAACAGGTGTTTAGTATCTTCCATACTTTCGCTGCAAATACCCCAAAGAGGAGAATATTAGACACCTTTATTTATTAAACGCATTCTAACAGGCACCCAATTTCTAAATAAATGCCATAGGAAATTTTTAACCCTCGATGGGGCCTTGATTTTCCAAAGAAGGTTTCACTTCTCACTGATCATAAGGTGAGAAGTATCAATAGTCTATTTAATACAGTAATGATAAGCCCTATGAACTGAAAATCCTCCATTTTTTTCAAACCTCCACACTTGTTTATCCTCATGAGCTACTTCGAATAGGGGTGTATTAAGAACCTTAGTCGCTTCAACCTCCACGATAAGAATATTAATCAAGTTTGAGTTCCACTACTTAATGTCTTTATTCAATAGATTTGAAACTTTAAGATTACCTGCCATCGGATTAGGTGCCCAAGGATTATTCAATGAGGTATTATCAGACAACAAATTTTTACCCCAAACTGGAATATTTTCTCCCAAGCCAATACTCCACTTATACCCGCTCTGAACCATAAACTTAGAACTCCAAATACTCCTCCACGCATAACTAAGATTATGATTGATGACAGTATCAAGAAAATCACACTTGGAAAAATATCTTGCCTTGAAGAGATGGGAGACCAAGTTACTTGGATTTACCATGAAACTCCAAGCTTGTTTACTAAGCATACATTAATTAAAAGCGCTCAGATTTTTGAATCCCATGCCACCATCATGTTAGACTACGACAACTTATCTAGAGGGGATGAATAGATCCCAATTTAAAAATACCTTTCAAAAATAGTTATTTAAAAACTTATTTGAAAAACAATATTGAGCAAAATATTTTTGGCCTAGATCAAAAAAGTAGTCTAAACGAACCTAGTTATTGGAAACTCTGATATGCACAAGCCGTATAGAATTAAGATAATGAGGAAATCGATCAACATAATAATATCTCAATTAATAGTTTAATATCAAACATAACAATTTCCTATTTCCAATGAAATTAAACAAACATGTAGAACAATGTAATTCGTCAAACACTTGGCGTGCGAACGAATTTTCAGAATTTTTCTTTGAGTTTTGTTGATATGAAAAAGCACTTATAATCAAAGTGATTATAATCTAATCAACAAACCAATTTAAACCAAAACAATTACAGAAAAATTCTTACGAGTCGATCGATTAAACAATGAAATTCAACAAATTACATAATGAAACATATAAAGCAAGTAAAGATATAAGAGATAGATAGAGAGAGAGAGAGAGAGAGAGAGAGAGAGCGACACAAGGATTTATTTGAGATATTATTTATTACTATGGCTACGTTCACCATTCGTCCTCTCTATGGCTACGTCTCCCCCAATTCCATTTTGGAATTGAGATGAATTTCTTACTTTACAAAAGTGTGATAATAAGATAAGTGTTCAAGAGAAACCCTACAAGCCTAACTGTTTTATGTTGATTCAACCCCTTATATTATTTTGATCTTTAACAAGACCAAGATACAATAGCTACCAATTGATTTATTGAATCTTGCTACTTTTTTAGGTACCAAAGACCGGAGCTCTTTTACGCACGATCAATTGTACATATTGCATACAAGACCTTTCAATTAAATTCATTGTTCTCTCGCTACTTCCTTGGGTACCAAACTCCGAAGGCTTTTCACTTGATCGCAATCCTCTCTTGAAAGTCTTAAACGAAAACCCTAAAATCTACCAAAGATCTTGGAGGATAAACCCGAGATTTTTCTAGATGAAACCCCTTACAAATCTCAACCGAATATTCTCGGCTATATAATAACCTAATTGGACGTTATCAAACCTTGGCTAGATGGCACCCCCGATAAAAGATGATTATGTGTGATTTATCAGTGTGTATACATAGGTTGGAGGTTAAAGGTGAAGAGAAAATGCAGTAAGTGTTTATAGTTTCATCAAGCTTGAATGGTGCATGGATGATGTGTTTATAGTTTAGATGCAAATAGGTCATTTTTTGAATTAAAAAAAATTGAAAAATTGACCCAATCAAATAGTATGTGTCGACCTGAAATACATATGTGCTGGCATATAAGTCAAAAACCAACTGTATGTGCCAACCTAAAAAGGCAGATGTGTCGGCCTATCCAAGGCAGTAGCTTTTTGATTTAATACTGCAATACATGTGTCGGCCTGAAAATCGTGACACATAAAATAGAAAAATAAAAGTTACAATATGTGTCAGTTTGTATGGATGCATGTGTTGACCTATGACACGTAGAAACTACAGGCTTCAATATTGAGTTGCATGTGTCGGCTTGAAACACGTACATTGTAACACCCCAAAATAATTAGATTATTTATTTAATTATCTAATTAATTTATGATGAGTGTTTGTGATGTATTTGTGAGCATATGTAATGTTTTGATGAATGTGATGTGTGATGTGATATTATGTGTGGTATAGTGGAAATTGAGTGATGTTGGGTGTTTTAATAATTTTAGAATAATTAGAGTAATTATTTAGAATTATTTTAATTAGTTAAATAGAATATATTGTGTAGAAATAATAAGGGCAAGGTGGCAATTAATAAAGTGATAAGTTAGGGTAATATAGGAAGACCATATTATGGGTCCAAGGGGTAAGTTTGACATAAGGAAAATTTGGGGTTTATAACGCTCATTTTGTATGATCGCGCTTGGAGAAGAGGCAGAGAGCAGACTTAGGGTATTGAGGAACTTAGAGAAATTCTGTAGAACATGGAGGAGATTCAATTGCTAGCTATAATCTAAGGTAAGGGGGTTATCCTTATTATTATGATTGATATAGGGTTTAGAGATATGTAGGTTGTTTGGGGTTTTATGATGAATTTGATAACATGATGATTTTGATGAAATAGATGATAAAATTGGTGAT